CATTTGCCCCAGCTCCACTATGAACCCCAATCTTTGACTCTGAGAACTTTGGTACTCTAGGGCCCATAAATATTTTTCAGCTTCTCAGATTTCCAGTGGTTTGCAGCAGAAATCCTAGGCTGTTCTATCTCTTGCTCATCTCTCATCTTTGGGGCCACCTCCCAGTATTTGATTTTGTTGGATATTCTGGTTTTGCTTTTGTTTTTACCTAGTCTGACTCTGTTACCTCCAGCCCCGAGAAAGGGTCTCCAGAGCCCCCCAAAAGGCAAGTGTTGGCCCAGGACCTCAGAGGCTCCCAGCCTGCCTCCAGACCCTGCCCTGTATGGGTCCCCCCAGGACCTTCACAGCCCCCAGTGAGGTCTGGGCCTGGGGTCAGCAGCCCACGCTGCTCACTATGGTGCTGTCTCCCTGTTGTGTCTCCCACTGCCTTCCCTGCTGCACCTGCCCCTCCCCGCCCCGCCCCGGAGTCATGCCCTCTAGCCCCCCGCTGGCTGCTGCCTCCTCCATGTCCCTCCCGGCGGCTGCCCCCACCACCAGCGTCTTCTCCTTCTCACCTGTCAACATGATCTCCGCTGTCAAACAGAGGAGCGCCTTTGCCCCCGTGCTGCGTCCACCAACCTCCCCAACCCAGGCCTGCCCCAGAGCCCACGGAGAGGGGCTTCCAGGTGAGTGAGTGGTTCATTCTGCCCCACTGTGGCCTGGTGGAACAGCTGGGCTTGAGGGGCCCATGCCATCCACATCTCACCAGAGCCTCATGCCAGTTGAGCAGTTCTCCCTGTAGGGTACAGAGCAAAGAGTTTTGTAGGAGTCCAAGGGGACCCCACTTACCTGTCCTCATAGCTTGGTATGGTCACCACTCCTGATGCTATCAACTGGCCACTTGACCAAGGGAAAGGGGACTCAAATCCAGTTGGAGAAGGTCTGAAAACCATCCCAAGGCCCCACCCCCATCCAGTTGAACCCAGGGCGGAGACCTAATACTCAGCTGGGGGAACCCCACGTGGACTGTGTGCTTTTTACCTGTGTGTCCACTGGAGGGTAGCACACACCACTGTGAGGGACTGGGTCGCTTGCTGATGGCAGGGGACTGGCCTTGGACAAAGTTTAGCCCAGCTTCTTCCCCCCGCTATTTTCCAGATAAGAAATTGAGACCACATCATCCCTCCACATCCCAATTGTGAAATGGTTGTCATTTGCCACTTCATTTATCAGTCTTCTCCAACTCAACATCCAATTTCACAGCCTGAGCCCTAACCAATAGTGTATAGCGAGTCAAAAGAAGTCACATCCCCTAGAAGATGACTGTTAGGATGGGCTTGTTAGATAATGCTCTAGGATGACTTGAAAGGGCAATCCTTTTTTTGCTTTTTTTTTTTTTTTAACCCAAGACAGTTTAAAATGTGAGGGACATCAATACCAACCATGGGAGGGGGGCAGGCAGGGGCAAGGGTGATGGGAGTGATGAATGTCATGGAGATAGGGGAGGAAGCCACGCCGCTGCTGCCGCTGCATTGGGTATCAGTGCTCCTGGAGCCTGACCTCTTTCCTTTTCTGTCCTGGTACCTGGCGATCTGCTTCCTCACCTCGAGCCAGGCCCTCTGGCATGCCTCGCCTAACTCTCTGCAATGCTGGTTCCAGACCAGAGCTAGGACTGGCTGACTACCTCCAAGGCTCTTGATAGCACTGTACTCAGCCCTGTATACTGTCCCCAGCCCAGAGAGGACAGGCAGCTCCCCAGACTACACATGGCTTATAGCCCCTCCCCTTGGTTACTACAGACCAGCCTTTTGAGGATTCTGAGAAGTTCCACTCTCCAGCCCGGGGGCTTCAGGGCCTGGCATACTCCTAATTACGGTAAGTCTCTGGCTGGTCCTTTCCCAGCCTTAGATGGGCTATGTATGGGGAGCTGGGGTCCAGGCCTTCCTCTCCAGGGCCCATCTAGACAACCGTCAGGGCCACGGAGCCCGTGCAGTGGCCCAAACTGAACAAGTGTCAAGAAGTGGCTTCCTGTCCCCTGCAGCCAGCCTTCATTCAAGACCTTCTCTCCTTCTCCCAACCAGGTCTGCAGGTCTGGCCCCTGCTGGCCCGGACTGGAGGTCCCACCAGGATTCACACCCATGCCTTGGATGGCAGCACAGACAGATGCAGGGCCAGGGCTGTGGACAGACCTCAACCCATGGGCCTGAATGGGGAGAAGACTTCCTCCACATGCTCCAGGCGCTCCACAGGCTTCTTTCACCTCCCTTTCTTGGGGCTGGTCGAAGCCCCAGCACTGTGCTGATGCTTTTGGCAGGAGAGCATCCAGGGAGGTGCTGGGATGTAGGACTTCACACTCCGGACCGGTTCCTGTGGAAGAGATGGACTTTGTGCAGACCTGAGGCATCAGGTGACAGGAGCACAGGAAGTGGACTGTGGGAAAGAGGATAGCTCAGGGAGAGGTGGCCTGGGAAGATCCCATCTCGCTGGGCCAGCGCCCACGTCTCTTTAGGGCAAGGGAGATGTCCAGCAGCCTCAGAAGGCTTGCCCAGGCTCCCATGGAGCTTCCGATGGCCGCTTGGCCCCATGGCTGCCCCACTCCCATCGCAGCCTGCACTCTCACACTTGCCACATCATGAATCCCAGTGGGGGCTTCAGGCATGGCAGTGCAGAAGAGGGGGTGCTAGGCCCCTGAATTATGGATCTTCCTCCCAAGGATTCTGACCCACACACACATGACTCTGCTGATCCCATAGAACCATGGAACGGGCCCAGCTGCCCCTGGACTCACACTCTGCTCTGTTGGGGTTGGAGAAAACAGAACAATAAACACAGATGCAGGTGGCCACCCGGCCTCTCCTGCCTGCTTCCTTGGCGTGGGTCTGCTTTTCTAGGCTTCTCATGAAGCCCGTCTAAAACATGCCCCTGGCAGCGTTCTTGCACGTTGGGCTTTTTCAACAGCCCCAGAGTTCAACTGAGCAACTATTCCCTACCCAGGTCTGCTTTCAGGTACTGTGTCGGGGTGTGGGGAGAAGGCGTACAGGCCTGAGGACCCAGGACATGGGCTGAGCCCTGAGATCTTTGGCTGGGAGCACATTCTGGCCACTGAGGGCTCCATCCCCTAGCTGTCTGGCAGGACCCAAGTAGGGATTGTCATCCCCCAGGGTAGGGGTTGCTGGGGACCAGAACAGAGCAAATTAAACATTACCTAGGTGTACACAGGCCCAGAAGTAAGATCCCTCCTGACTAAAGGCTGCAAGGCCTCCCTTGGGCTGGGTGGAGTGGCTTTTGGCTCCCAAAGTTGCTTTCTGAGCGAGGTCTGACCCCAGGCCTAGCCACTTTCTGGCTTTCCTGTCTCAGAGTTTTGGAGGAAGGATAGTAAAGATGCAAGATTCCTGGACTCATTTACCCCATCTCCAGGATGAATCCCTGTTGTTCCCCTGAGACATGTGCCCAAGACCTCGGACCTGGGGAACCACTTTTTTGACTCATTGTCCAGGGATCCCAGTGTCCAGCCTGGTGGCAGTCTTTGGCTCTGACCTGGGGAAATCCTATACTTCCCCAACCCATGTGCCCATGCCCTACAGCCCTCTGGGCAAAGACACTTTGCCAAGGCAGATGGACTGGTCCTGCCACTTTCTTCTCTTTTGATCCTGGCCAACATCTGGGACCATAACAGGTAGCCTTCTGGTCACCCTCCCCTATTTATAGTGCTTGCCTGGTCTCCCCCTCAGTTCCTGTTTCCAGCCTATGTTGCAGAGCCCTGAAGGCTACCATGCCACACCCTGCTCCATTCAGACTCTGAGAAGTTCTCACTGCCTGGGGCTCTCCACTGCAGTCCACTGGACTGGATGTACATGGTAGCCGGACAATGGTCATATTCTGGTTCCTGAGATGGGTCAGATGCCATGGATGATAGGAATGAGATGTGATATCTGTCTTCAAAAATCTCTCAACTGTGCTCAAGCCACCATTTGAGTCGGCACTGCCCACTCCCTGGTCCAGAGTAGGCAGAGCTAATCAATTATGTTTGCTATCAATCTGATGGACTGAATTGTGTCCTCCCCAAATTCATACATTCAAGCCCTAACCCTTTCCCCCCATATGACTATATTTAGAGATAGGGCCTTTAAGGAGGTGATTAAGGTTAAATAAGGTCATGAGAGTCGTGCCCTCGTCTGATAGAATTGTTGTCCTTGTAAGAAGAGACCCCAGAGCTCTCTCTTCATTATATGAGGACACGGTGAGAAGGTGAGACTGTCTACAAGCCAGAAAGAGAGTCCTCGCCAGGAACCAAATCAGCTGACACCTTGATCGCTGGTACTTGTAGTTTCCAGAACAATGAGAAAATAAATTTCTATCGTTTCAGTCACCTCGTCTATGGCATTTTGTTATGGTAGCCTAAAATGACTAATATAATTTTCTTTTTCACATGTCTTAGATTGGGTTCCCTTAGAAGCAGAATCTGAGACAAGCTTCCTGCTGGAGAACTGGGGTAGACAGTGTAGAACACACCTCAGAGTTTTTCCACCTGAGGAGCAAGGGAGCTGGAGTATTTATACACCAACTTCCATCAGTCAGTGGGTGAGGGCTTCTGTGGGGAAGGGGAGTACCTTCCTGGCACTTCAAGTCAGCCCATGGGTGGTAAAACAGGTCCCAAAAGCTAGAGAAAATCCTCAGGCAAAAAGATGCAGGTGTTGGCAGATGGAGTCAGACAGGTGTGCACTGAAGAGATAAAGATGAGATGTGGGTGGGACACAAAAGTGTCTACCGTGGAGATAGTCCCGGGGTGTCAACCTGTGGAAAAGGAAGTTGATTTTTGTACTTGAAATAAGTTCAGAGCGGGCATGAATTTTCCTTTATCTGCAAGTCCCAATTCTCCTGAGACCACGTGACCGAAACTGCCCAGGATGTTTCTAAATGTCAGGTGACAAAGAACCCCTTCTCAGCATCAGCCCACCCACAGGCTTTTTTCCCACAGGGCCAATCAGGATAAAGATAAGACAGTTGGTTACTCGATCTTCAGAGAGACAACATCTCCCAGAAATCCTCCACTTTCTTCCCATATGTTTCCCAGCAAAACGAGGCTGCTGTGTTCTGCATCCTACCGGGGATCAGACAGCCTCTGAAGCTGCATTTTGCTCAGACAGGACCCACTGGGGACTGGACTCAGTGATTCAAGGGAAGCCAGGTAGCAGCTGAGACCAGCCCTCCTCCTGACTATTCTGCAAAACATCCTTCTCCCCATCCCACCCATATCAGTGGGCCCCTTAGCCTCTCCCCAAAACAAAAGTCTCCCAGAAAAATGGAAACTGCCATGCAGTGGGGAAAGGATGGTTTTTTAATCAATGGCATTGGGTCAATTGGATATTCAAATGAAAAAAATTAAATTTGACCTCTACCTCACAGTGGCAATTTTATCATAAAACAAGTATCCATAAATGTATGGGCTTGTTCTGGATTCCCTATTCTGATCCATTGATCCTTTTGTCTGTCTTTATACCAATACCACACTATTATAATTACTAGAGACCCGATGCATGAAATTTGTGCACGGGGCCTTGGCCCCGGCCCCTGCCCACCACTGCCGTGGCCCCTGCCCACTGTGGCTTTGTCTGGAAGAAAGGATGTCCAGAAGGACATCCAGTCTAATTACATATTACACTTTTATTATTCTAGACTAGAGACCCGATGCATGAAATTCGTGCAAGAGTAGGCCTTTGCAGCTGTGGCGGCTGCTTGGATCCCTCCCTCGCAGCTGTGGTGGCTTCCTTGATCCCATGGCTATAGTCCAAGTTTCGTCTGGAAGGTTGTCTGAAAGGACATCTGGTCTAATTAGCATATTATGCTTTTTTATTATAGATGTTAAATTAGTAAGTTTTTAAAAATATCTTTTTAATGATTTTTTAGAGAGAGAGAGGAAGGGAGAGGGATAGAGAGATGGAAACATCGATGAGAGAGAATCATTGATCAGCTGCCTCCTGCACGCCCCCTACTGGGGATCGAGCGCGTAACCTGTGCATATGCCCATGACTGGAATCGAACTGGAATGCTTCAGTCTGCAGGCCGATGCTCTATCCACTGAGCCAAACTAGCCAGGGCTATTCTTAATTTTATTTAAAATTTTTAAAATTATGAATAGATGCACATTTTATGAACTTCTCTTCTGCATGTATTGAGATAATTGTGTGACTTTCCAATATTTTGTTAATGTGCTGAATTACACTCATTATGTGTTTAATGTTAAGCCATTGCATCAACTGTCTAATTACATGTTTTAACGGTAAACTCCAGTCTATTTTTTACCCCACTCCTCATGCCCCTCTTTCTCTCTGTCTTTGCACTACTCTCTCAGAAGGCACCTATTGGCTCTTTACTTCCCCACAAGAAGCTAGGCTTTTGGGAAACAAAATGTAGAGATCTACAGACCATCTCAGTCCTTCACCTTGCCATGCCATCTTCAGCTAACTTCTTGAAGTAGAGGAGGGAAAACATAAGAACAAACACACGTTAATCTCTCACTAAGTCATTCTACCCCCATAACCTGCCTCTTCCCAGCTGCACTCTTAGCTCTGGGTCCCCCTATTGGAGTTCCAGAATAGCACTCATGGGTAGTCTGTCCAGCAGCCCCTGCTTCCACTCTCCAAAGGAGAAGGTGTGCAAACCTCCCCCTTCTGGGTTTAGAGCTGCAGGGACCGCCAATGAGAATAAGTGGGAGGATTCTGAGTCCACAGACCCTCCCTCCCCTTCCACTGGCAGCAGAACAGAAGAGACTTCATGGCTCTAAAGATGTGGAAGAGGCTTTCCAGCAGGGCAGTAACAGAAACAAGTACATTTTTATTTTATTCCCTGAGAGAAAAGGAGCCAAGTGTTTAAAGGGAGAAGGAAAAATGCTGTAAAGTAACAGGTCTGCTGCTCCTTGGGGCCCAGCACCCTGGCATCTTGGTTCTCCAAAGCCCTTCCTTCCCCGTCGCCTGCCTGGGAATGAACGCTGCTCCTGATGCGCCCTTGGCTGTGCGTGGGCCCCTCAGGCTAGGCTGCCAGGGCTCCTTGGCTGAGTCGGGGAAGCTGCTGAGCTGCTGGGAGAGGAGAGGAGGGGAGGTCTCCCCATGGCAGGGTTGAAAGGGCTGTCTATCTGGCACTGTGGCCAAGGGCTGCTCCAGAGCTGGGCAGCCACCCTGTGGGTCCAGTTCCTGATGGCCTGTCTCGGGACGGAGTGTCATCAGGAAAGCCCTCTGGCCTGGGTCCCTGCTTCTGCTTCCTTTCTTGGCTTTCACCCACCTGGGGGTCTGGCTCCCCTCCATTCATCCTCCCCCTCGCCACTCTCCCAGAGCATGAGTCCACTTTTAGGGGCGCGGGGTAGGGTCCGACCACTACTGGGCTGGCACCAAGTCAAGCCCAGCCAGCGTTGGCTTCTGTGGTGAAAGCTGGTTTGTCTGGGCTGCTCCTGGGCCCTTCTTGGAGCGGGGCCCAGAGGGCCACCTTGCCAAGACAAACTATGGCTGCCGGGTGGAATGTGGTGGAGCGGCTGCTGAGCAGGCCCAAACCTGGCAGACCTGTCAATGGTGTCCCCGCTGCGGTTTCCACAGCACGGGGTCCTACAGGGTCCCCGGGGTCAAGCCAGGCCAGGAGCAGGTTCCGAGAGACCACTGGACATCGCTCTGCTCCTGTTGAGTGAGGCTAAAGCATCACCTCCTGATCGCACCTGAAAATCAAACCCCCCTAATCAAGCCTCAAAGCTCAAAGAATTCCTCCAAACCCCTTCCTTGGGGTGTGTGTGTGTGTGTGTGTGTGTGAGCAGTTCAGTAGCAGAGGGAGGTGTGTGCGCACATGCACGTGTGGGGTTGGGGGAGGAGGGTGGGGGGCTGCA